GTGACATAGCCATAAATTTGAGGTCCCTTAGACTAAACAGCGCGTAGTGACGACCGAGTCGAAATACGTTCTCCTACATATGTATATATAAAAACAACAAATAGCTTATCAAGGAAAGGATGTGTACCTATTTTCAACCCTTGTATCTCGATCAGGACGGTAGTGACAGATAAAATTCAGACACACGATACTTACGGAGACATGCGTTGAAGAATTTTTTCCGATTTTTTGAAAATTCTAGTTGTGAAAATTGACAAAAACCAAAAAATGACGAAAAATACGAATTTCGTATTGAAGATTTAAAGCGATTGCATTTATACAATTACAGTAACAACATATTGTCGTAATTATTGTCGTAAATTTTATTGATATTTTTTGGTGGGGTGTGCCGTAGTTTAAAAAATCAAAAACTTTATTAAGTGAGTATATTATACGATTTTAAGTATTTCTACATTTATTAAGATAATATATAATCAAATAAACCAAATTAAAATTGTACTGCATCTTTATATTTTGAAATATTCACGTTACTCCCAAGAACGCCGTTGGTGTAGTTAGTTAAGCTGAGACAACGAAACCGTAGCGAAGATTTTGACCATACTTGTGAGTTAGAAGCCTTGTACATACTTTTTTTATTACATAAATTATATATTTGTCAATTTCTAACTAAATGACAGTGAATAGTATGATAAGGATTTAAGTAGGATAGGTTAGTCATACTGTTAAGTATATTATCTGGACGAGGTTTATGGGGTTTTTGTGCATATTTTAGGTGGAAACATTCATCCCTACGAATACAGTACCGGAGTAATTTCTGACCAGCCTCGAGAGCGATACGCACAGTGACGGAGCTATTCGTGCAAATCTGAATGTGACCGAGTTTGTTAACATGGAAACGGCCAGGCTGAGACCCTACAGAAGAATTGCTTTAGATCTTCGACTCCCTCCATATATTGTGATGGAGCCATGGTACATTGAGTCTTGTAACATAATGTAATATAACCAAAAATTTTCAAACATTTGAATATCACCTCTTTCTCTCTTGAGATCTGACAAATTTAAGAGCACGCCCCGGCCAAACGCAACATTTTCTATAAGTCAGACTAGCGGTTTTGTAAGTGGCAACACTGCCTCAATCATTGGAGGTAATAAATTTACATTTGGACACGACATTAGAATTTGCGAGGCCAGCTCTCAAACTATAATGTCTAGGAGGAAATGTTAGTATAGAAATTACAGGAACGATTTAACAAGTGTTCACGAAAAAAGTTCATATTATGGAACACAGAAGACACAAAAATAGAAACAATGTAAATAAATAAATAAATAATAAATAATAAATGAATTAAATAAAAATAAAATAAATACTTAATTATTAGTTCTCGGAAGGAGGACGCTTTTTCGTATCCGTCAGCGGCGTTTCGCTCTGCTTGGAACTCTATGCTTTCTACTTTTTGAACATACTTTCGTCTGCAATAGTACGACGCATTTTGCGCTGTACCTCCTACGCCCCAAAATTGTTCTTTGGCGTGCAAAAACCTCGAGAACCGGGCCACTCTCTGCTGACTCGTCCAGACTGGCAGAAAAAACCGAAGCGTTCCTAGAGGAACGTCAAGAAAACGTTAACGCTTAAATTTGAACCGACCACGTTGTGATTTCTCGCCGAGCCAACATACGTGCCTTATAGGGATGTATCGCGAAGAGACAGACGCGCGATCAGGATGAAATTCTTTCCTCCTCCAAGCCGAGGAAGACTCCTCAGTGGACCGTGACGGAGTAGTACTGAGAATGGAAGCACGACAGACAAAGGCCTCCCGCTCGACTACCAGATGGGATTTTTAAGCGCCGAGTCTACTGAAGGGGCCAGGCCGAAATCTGCACCTAGCAAGACAGCGACGGGATCAATCACTTTGACGTCTCCCTCTGAAGAAGAGCTTACGGTGGAGGTGGCAGGGAGAAATAACCCGAGGAGTGCAGCAGTCGCCTGGTAGGAGGGCAGAAATTTGAGCACCCTCAAAAGGTGGGAGTAATCCCTATGGTAAGGGGATACATTCAAATCGCGCCGTCACTAAGCCGTAGGAGCAGGGCTCCAGGAGTACGGGGGGGGGCGGTGGAGGGCAGCAACTCCGCGTCGGAAACATGAATTTTCGGCCCAGTGAGAGTCTCAAACAGGGTCTCCAAGGTTTCCTCATTCTTTACGTTGCCGGATGACGCAGGTAGTCGGCGGAAACACCCGAACGGCCAGCTCACACAGATAGAAGCAAAGTATGCTTGTGCGGCAGAAACTGTGGAATAAAGTGGGGGACGCCGGGACGTCGTGGTGGTGGTACCAAGTTCCACGATTCTGGCTTCACTGGCTGTAGGTAGGAAGAGGCGGGACAGCAAACCAGCCGTCTCAGGGGGCAGCAGTCGCCCCCCAGAAAAGAGCCCCTCCCTCATTTTAGGGGGGGAGAGGCAAGGGCGGGGCTGGTCGCGGTAGTGTGCCTCGGCGATCCCGTGACCAGCCCTTACGCCCGAGAGGGTCACCGGGGAGGTTTTAGCGGGTGAAACTCCGTACAGGTCGCCTCCGCCCCCAACGGAGGCGGTACCGCCTTTTTCAAGATTTTCCCCCTGTTAAAAAAAAGGGGGCCTACCGATGTCCTGACGCCGCGTCGCGAACATTTGGGTAGTTACTTGGGTTACGTCCGTCTGTCGGTGTGCGAGTGTGTTGTAACGGAGCTAGAGGGAGAGAGCGCTCGAAGCAGTGGCGAGAAGCTGTTCGTAAGGAAACCCGAGCGAGGGCGGAAGGACGACTGTGAGTCGCATGATAATCTTCCTAAATTTTATCGTATTGGAAGAATAATCTCGATCTCGTAGTCATCTATTTAGAGTCATAATTGCAGGTAGCATTTGGATCGCGTGTGTATCGTGTACTGCGAACGCGTGAGCGAGCGGCATACGGAATCTGTTCTCGTGGGTTTCCTCTAGAGCGCTCCAATTACAAACTTACGGTTGCTGACTTTAGTTATGTTAAACAAATTGTAAAGAACGACAGCTGGCCACCGAGCTACACATGGTATTAGAATTTTAAGCGACGACAGCTGACCACCGAGCTACATTGGTTGCGATTTTAACATCAATTGTACGGCTGTAATTTTGGTAGGCGTGATTCTATTAAATATTATCTTGTTAATTCTGTGTCTATTATTTCGTGCATGGTCTCCTGCCGTGAAGGGTGTTTACCTTCACACTATCTGCGAACTCCGGCCGATCATACGAGCTATCTAGCGCTGGCATGCTCCTTCACGATCTCTAACGGTTTTCGGTGGACCCGACGATATCGGAAGGATATCGTGGGATCAATACAGAGTTTTTAGGAAACAGGTTTCGTTACGGATTATTCAGGGTATGCCGATCGGGACTCTCGGGGAGTGACTGGTGCTCAGTAATACGAAAATATCGCGGGAACGCGATTGTAGAGGAGGGACCGGGAGATCTTTTGTCCGTGGCAGAAAGAAAATCACGGTGCTCATGGCAGTATATTGACGATAGTTTCTCTATATTTATTATTTTCTAACGTGATTGTCAGAGGAGAAGTTTCAAACACATCTTTTCCTTCGTCATTGATTCTACCAATGTAAAAATATCCTCACGGAAAATGTCTGAGTTCCTTCGAAAAGATCATATGTATAAACATACTATTTATAAGTTAATACAATATAATTAACACATATAGTGTATAAAAAATGTATATGCACATTTTTTATTCCGTAAAAATGATTTTATACATTCTTAGATTATTTTCGATAAATTTCCAACTGTGTCTTGTGTGTAATAAGCGTCTAAATAATGGATTTTCACTTTTGTATAATGTCCATATATTATTCAATATATTTATTGAAAAAGTACTTGAGTGTGTAAACACTGTTTGCGTGTACTGTCTGTATACACGAAATCGTATTTGAATTCTCCTACAGGATCATCGAAAACAAATGATGATTCAAGTGAAAATTACTCCGTCTTTAGGCCCGATGTAGACGAGCGAGTTTTGTCGCGCATTTTGACACGCGTTGTCGCAGCAGGTATTACACGCTCGTCTGAATGTAAAAATTCCGTGCACATTTCGTCACAGCGGGCCAGCGATATCCGACAGTCGATTTTCACCTGCCGCGAGCTGTGAGGTGTCGCCGCGTATAAACCCGCTCGTGTGTATTTCCTGATACGTTTCCCTGTACTTCTAAAACGCGCGAGAAATACCCGCGCGACAAAACTCGCTCGTCTGTATCGAACCTTAGAAGCAAATCTTGCGACGACCACAATATGTTTTTTATCTCTATTTTTGAATGGAGGGCACTCACATGAACATTAACTGTTGTTAATCGATGAGAATCAAGTTTTTCTCCAGATCAAATGTTAAGAATGTTTGCTTCATGTACTTGAAAATATGTTATAGCGGTGTATGTTATACAAATTTTACTAGGATTTTCACAAACAAATGTTTGGGTGATAAAATATCTTATAATTATATCTGAATTATTCTGATCTCTTCAAGATTTCACAGAGAACCTGGAAAAATTATTCGACTCAGCCAAATTATTCTACTCTCTAATTATTTCTATTCAGAAAAAGCGAAATTTTCATGCTAAAACTGTTTAGGCTCCATGTGCGAAGTACAGGATGATTCTTGCGGTAGAGGCCCGGAAAGTGACTTATTTCACGGAAGGCTAAAAAATGACAATATTGCTTAGAACTGTCTGGAACGTCGAGAGAGAAAATCATTCTGTTTTTAACAGATCCATCTATGGATTGTCAACCTGCTGGTTTTTATACAATCCCGTGTAAAGAAATAGTACATGAAATTTTTATTTGGAAAGTTCTTATATTTAATTTTTAGATTAGGACTCTCTTATATCCTTAAATGATTTTAAAAGACAATTAAAAAATAATACATCTAGCTAAAGAAAGAAAAGTAAGAATACATTTCATTTAATAAATCTCTTCATCAATAACTTTCGCTGCAATCACAATGCAGTTTCCAGCGTGGATACGCTGGAAGTACGAGATACATTCTGCGAGTAATCAGTTTGCGGTGATTCTGATCTACCGCTAAATATCTGTCTGACATAAGTATTACGAGCCTGATTGTCGGCCATCGGAGTGTCAGCGAAGAACTGTGCCCTGGCTAACTGACAGCTAATCCTCCTCGACTCGAACGTGTTTGTCACTTTTTGAGGAGAAGGCGTCAGCTGCGAGTGAAATGAATACAGAATCGCGAAATTTTGGGAATTCAAGTCCGAAACACTCTGAGTAAGACTACTTTGTAAGTCAACACCTACATGACTGCAGGTGGAGCTTGAAACGGTTTGGTCTTGTCTCAGGATGGTGTTAACGAATGCTTTAGGCTCCATAAAGGATACTATATAAGAATCCTTTAAATTATCTAGTGAAAGCATATCTTTGGAATCTGTGAGAACTTCGTTTCTAGAATCAATCACGTGCAGATGGCTCGGTAGATTATTACAGAGATTCTGCTGCCTTTTCAACGCCAGTCTTTGCGCCGAAGAAGTGTTTTCAGAAGATGGTTTCATTGCTTTTTCCTCTGCCGCAGTGTCTTCGATGATGGTAGATGATAGAATATTAGTTCGGGGCGTCTGAAATCTCCACTGAGACCGAGGACTTAGTACCTTGGTTAAAGGAGTCTGCTGAACTGTAGACCACGGTTGCTGCAAGTTCTGTCGTGATAGTTTTAGTTGTTCTGCAGCTGATAGTCTCGTAGGACCGTTCTTCACGCTCTGCTGAAGCAGAAGACGCTTGAAGTCCAGCCTGGACGTCGTTGGCGACAACGATTGGACGTACTGTGTAATCTGGAACCGAAACAGTGTAACCTGGATCCGACGTTTATATTAAGGTACACTAAACAAGATAAGGATATTGCGTCGAAAAGTCAATATACAAGGGTGTTCGACTACTAGACGGAACAAATCTAAGGGATGATTCTTTGAGGCAAAATTACACGAAAATCAAGAATAACGAAATTGCGACAAATACTTCGTTTGTTAGTTATAAGCGTTTCAAAATTGACCCAAATGATGGCAATCCGCACGCACGGAGTATCAGCGGACCACGGTTCGTAAGGGCCGTACAGTCACTTTAAAGACTAAACGACGTGCAGTTCTTTTTCCAAGTTAATGTCAAGAGGGACGGCCGAAAACACGATGGGCAAGGTCTTCGTCGATGGCAGCAACACGTTGCAGGCAACCCGTGGGTGGTCGTACTGCAGAAGACGAGAGAGAGTTTTATAATGTCCAGACTCGCACACCCTCGGCATCGTGGCCAAGTGGGCCCGAGTGGTATATGAAAAAAAATACAGATGTGGCTCTAAGAATATGCGAAGGGAAACGGGACCTCCACTTTCCCATGCAGCTCTTCCTTCTCAAAAAGTAATGACCATGAAAGAATGGGAATCTACCTTAATAGGTAGATCCACATCGATCCTATTGAGGGAGGATCAATTCAACAATATCAGTTGTCCATTCCGAACGGTATCCTTTCAATTCTTCGAACAAATAGAGTTCATGTTCGGGAAGCTAAGTTTTAGTTTGTTTAGCGATTACGTACTGATTATTTAGTAGTGTAGCGTAGGTCGTTGTTATAAATAGTGCAAATTAATTATTGTAGGTTTTACTAAGCATTGTAGATTTTAGTAGTTATTGTAGGTTTTATTAATTATTGCAGGTTTTATTAAATATTGTAGGTTTTATTACTTATTGCAGGTTAATTAAATATTATAGGTTTTATTCAATATTGTTGATTTTATTAATTATTGCAGGTTAAAAATTAATAAAAATAGTTGCTATAAATTAATTAGTGTGGGTTAAAAATTAATTTCAAATAGTTATAAATTAATTATTTTGAGTGTTAGTTTTGTGTAACGTGTAGAGTGTGAAAAGCAACGGAGGAACCGCTCGCGGGTCTAATTAATCGCGCAGTGTGTGAACATTTTTCGCGGACGGTGTGTGGTGTACGTGCATGTGCGGATTAATTTCATGAATACTGGTGGACAGAACAATTGTTGTATGTGACAACTAGAGGGGGCATTAACCCTCTCTACTCGATAATATTCGTAAGAAGGTATTTACATTTCTTGCGAATTTTATCGAGTAACAAGTGTTAATGCGATACAAGTGAATTCGATTCAATTATCGCGGTCACAAATTATCGACATCTTTTAAGGGGTAAGTAGACAGCTGTTCTACCTACTTTTCCTGCCCGTCGTTGAGTCTTTAAGGTGATTGTACGCCCCTTACAGTCCGTGGTCCGCTGACACTCCGTGCGTGCGGATTGCCATCATTTGGGCCAATTTTGAAACGCTTATAACTAACAAACGAAGCATTTGTCGCAATTTCGTTATTCTTGATTTCTGTCTTATTTTGCCTCAAAGAATCACCTCTTAGATTTATTCCGACTAGTAGTCGAACACTAAGGAGCGACATCAAGCGTGCAGATTCATTCGCAGTTTATTCTGAGTGTCGTGAACGTGAAGTTGTTGTATATTGCTTGTATTATTATTGTTATTACTATTAAAGTGTCTTATGTTAGTTATAAGCATGTTGAGTGTGTTTTTTTAAAAAACCTTCCCAATGGTCTACGCCCGTAACAAATTGATAGCAGCGGTGGCATACTTCTGTATTCTCTTCCTAGAAGTAACTCTTTTAGAAGATGGTCTACCGAGAGACAGACAGTATTAATGAGAGGAATATACAGGGTGTCTAAAAAATGTCTCTCTTCTCGGGAATGAGGGGTTCCTGGGGTGATTTGAAACAACTTTTTCCTTAACGAAAATGTTATTCGAGGCTTTGTTAACGAGATATGAACGAAAAACTCCGACCAATCAGAGCGCGAGTTTGCCAGCCGAGTTTCGTATGCTTGTACTATGAAGCTCCGAACAAACAAGTCGGCATGCATCCCAGGAAACCCCGTATAATAGCAAATAAAAAAGACGAAACTAATAAAATCATTCTCTTTATTATCTTTCATTTGTTATTTAGTAGGAAAATTATGTGTAACGTAAAAGGACGAATGCACAGGCACTTTTTTAAACAGACTGGAAACTAATAGTTATTTGAAGAGAGAGGTTCAGAAATTTGTAAGATTCCTTCTCAAAAACGTATGAACGAAAAGGTAATGTAATACTGATCGTAGTTCGTTACTGCCATTAAAAAATCCGTAGTTCAGTAACGGGCAACAATGATACTGATTACGAATAATTGTCTTTAAGAAGCCCGAAGAAAAATGTAGGTACAGAAATTTGCAGAATTATCGCCGGAAATAAGCCATAGCTTGGGTTAAATTAATAAAATAATAATCAGCAATAAATTGATTAGAATTCACCCTTTCGGAAATTCACCTGCAGTTTGCAAACCTGTGTCACTAGGTCACTGGACCGATCCTGGTCATTGACTGCCGAAACGGTTTATGGCAGGGTATCGCCCAGATGATCGCAGGTATACCTCACCAGCGGAAGTTAAGCCCGATTGCTAACCGACTGACAGAATTTTTTCGTAAGGGTTCCTCTACCTCCAAGTCGCTTCCCATCGTTATGTTGTGAGTTCACTCCCACCGCGGCAACAAGATTTAGGTAAAAAGAAACTAGTTGTCTCGGAAAACACGTGCTTTGCAGAAGTGCAACGAACGAACCGTCGTGCACTTTCACCGAAGCGTGGGTTAATTTACTGCCAGGATACCCATTGGTTCGAGATAGAAAGCAGAGACTACGTTTTTCTCGAGGAGAGGTCTCGTAACAGACGTGGACTCTCAAGGGAACAACATCCCGAATTTTGACAATCGCCGATTTTTATACAACTCTGTGAGATTCTACTTCTAATCAAAATATTTGATATGTGTTTCTTTTTAACTGCTCTCATCCCCGTTGAAGGGGTAACAGCGGAGCGCCCAGTTCTTCTACCTGAAACAGGGCGCACTGCTGTCTTTAATAGCTTACTGCGATATTAATATGAATCGGACGCACTTGACGTTACAACCTGCCATAAACCGTTTCGGCCGTCGATGACCAAGATCGGTCCAGTGACCTAGTGACACAGGCTTGCAAACTGCAGGTGAATTTCCGAAAGGGTGAATTCTAATCAATTTATTGTTGATTATTATTTTATTAATTTAACCCAAACTATGACTTATTTCCGGCGATAATTCTGCAATTTTCTGTACCTAAATTTTTCTTCGGGCTTTTTGAAGAAACTTATTCATTATCAGTAACATTGTTGACCGTTATTAAACTACGAATTTTTATACCAATACTGAATTACGATCACTTCTCGTTCATTCTCTGTTACATTACCTTTTCGTTCACACGTTATTTGAAAAGGAAATTTACAATTTTGTAAAAAGGAATTTACAAAAAAGTAAATCCGCATTCGTCTTTTTACGTTACACATAATTTGCCTATATTTACGTTTCATTCATTAATCTCTTTAAATAACAAACAGCAGATGATAAAAAGTATGATTTTATTTGTTACGTCCTTTTTATTTGCTATTATACGCAGTTTCCTGCGATGCATGCTGACCTACTTGTTTGAAGCTTCGTAGTACGAGCGTAGCGCATAGCCACCGCTAGCGCGGGAACTCGGCTGGCAAACTCGCGCTCTGATTGGTCGCGGTTTTTCGTTAATATCTCGGTAACGAAGCCTCAGTTTACATTGTTGCTAAGGAAAAAGTTGTTCCAATTCACCACCCGAGTGCCCCATTTCCGGGTCGGAGGACATTTTTGGGACACCCTGTATATATTTCCCATTCACGATTCTGAAAAATTTTGCCCTGAGAGATGAAATTTTAAGTAGTTACAAAGTTTATTACATAGATATAGAGTCTAGTAAGTCAATAATCTACAGTAAATTGTTACCAACGTTTTAAATAATAACAGTTAAATCGAAAGGGATATTCATGAACCAAAACTTGTACTTTGTACATAGTTTTAAAAAGTTGCAACCACTTACAATGAGTATAGTTGGTACCACATGAAAGAATGAACGTTTCTCTTCTAGAAATGAAAAGAATAGGGAGCACCTTTGAATCCCTTTCCAAAAAAATGGCAGCTGAAGTAATTCTACCATACCTTGTTACGTACGAAGATACTCTTAACCCTATCTGTAGATGGAATGCATCCGGCCGGATTACGTAATTGCCCACGGGGTGTTATGGCGTGACCAGATTTTTTTGGAAAACAGTTTCCGTTAAGAACAGGCGTGTCCCCCACCACTTTTAGACTCGATTTTCGGAATATAAAAAGGGACGCGTACAGCTCATCCGCGGATCATATTCATATCACAAGTCTAGCTAGTGAGATCGGGTATTAAAGTCCTTGTCAAGCATTTTTAAAAGTAAGCTAAACTCTGCATAATAAATCCCCGCATTTCTCAGTGCGTGAAAACCGAGAACGTTGGAATCAGCTTCCGCGACTACACTTTACAGTACCATTTGTAAAACCTTTACTTTATTGAATATACTTTTATACGTTCATATATTTATAATTCAGTGTTGTTCATTTCAACTCTAGAACAACATCTAAATTCCCAGCTAGAAGCGAACCCACAAAGGCACAGTTTTACCGCTTGAAGTGTACCGAATTCTTAAAAGTTACGAGGCCCATACTAACAATCCTAGTGGCTCCCTGAGATGAAATAGGCTCGTGTTCGTCCACGACAACCTATCCCAGTGGCTCCCTGTGATGAAATAGGCACAGGTTCGTCCACATAACAAACTCTAAAAACCAAACTCGCCATTTCCTCGGCTCTCGCAGCCGTTTAGCCATGGCTCGTAACAACCTATTCATTAGAGTTGATATTAAAAAGTTAGTATCAAACAGTGATACGCACGTATATTGACAATCAATATCGTCATACATACATCATATCAATGTATGCAATCATCAGACTCGCTCTCTTAAGTTTGGTTAACATACAAATTACTATGGATTTTATTCCGCTTATAACGACTCCGTTTACTACGACCTACTGCTTACAGCGACGTAATTTGCGATAGTTTCGTGTGGTTACAACGACGTCTCGCAGAAACTTTGTGTTTTGTTTACCAATATTCCCCGCCCCCCGTTACACATCCAACGCACTCACAACCAGCGTTACCAGATAAGGGTCCCTCACTCCTCACTCTACCGCTTGTGGTACCAAGTGGGGAGAATACCGGGTGGTCTTTTCTACTACGCGACGCCACGGACGGCTTGGCTTGTAGATGTTTATTGTGCAGTGTAGTGGTGCATACGGTTCTTTTGGGACACTCTTTAGCTTGCTTCATGCGGTATGCGCATACGTCAGCGCAGCAGCGGTGGGTGAGGCATGGGAAGGGTAAGGGGAAATATGGTAACGCTGCTCAGTGAGCTGATGCCATCAGCAGTGATGCCAGAATCGTGGAACTTCGTTCCATCACCACGACGTCCCGGTGTTCCCCACTTTATTCCACAGTTTCTGCCACACAAGCATATTTTGCTTCTACTGTGTGAGCTGGCCGTTCGGGTGTTTCCGCCGACTACTGCGTCACCCGGCAACGTAAAGAATGAGGAAACCTTGGAGACCCTGTTCGAGAATCTCACTAGGCCGAAAATTCACGTTTCCGATGCGACGCCCGGCAATCTAAACGTGTGAGTAACAGTCGGGAGACCCCGTTCGTATCCCACTGTGGCGGTTTTACTTTTTATATTTAATTATTTTATAATTTCACTTTGTAACCTCTCACTAAAATAAAAACTTGACAATATTAATTTGCGAGACATTTAAAAAGAAGGAAATAAATTGTTTCCTCTTCAATATTTAAATTTTATATTATATACATACGTATTCTGTTATATACAGGGTGGCCCACATAACTCTTCACAGCTCAATATCTCGAAAACTATGCCATCGATTTTAAAGTTCTTGGTCTTAAATTGCATGAATCTGAAGGGCCTTTCTAACTACAGAAACGTGAAGTGGCCCCCCTTCCTCTGTAAGGGGGGGCGGGGGTACCTTTATAATTTTAAATGGAACCCCCTATAAAACGTTACATATTTAGATTCTACAGGAAAAAACAAGTAAATTTTGTCTGAAACATTTTTTTGTCAGATATTTCCATGATGAGATATAACAGTTTGAAGTTTCGACTTGTAGGTACTTACTCGAAGTGCTCGGAAAATGCGTTATTGAATTATACGCGCTTGAGTCCTTTGCTTATTCGTGAAAAAATAAAATTTTCTTTAAATTAAATGTTCAAAATGTCCACCACGGGCTTGTAAACATTTATTTACTCGAAACATCAAAGTTGTTCTGACATTTGTTAACATTTCGGGAGTCACTGAAGCGCAAGCGTCACGTATTCTTTGTTTCATATTCTCTTTTTTCGTTATGTTCGAACCGCCGACGATGTCTTTATAGAGAGTCTATATCCAGAATATTGCTCACTTAAAATATTTTTCACTAATATGAAAAACTGTAACCCAAAATATTTGTATTTAAAATATTCTACCTATGCCCCACTACATACAGCAACTAAATGGATGAAAATACCTATGGACACTACTGAACTTTTCGTATCTTGTCAAAATCAAGATACTCTTTCCTACCAGATCTCACAGATGTTTGAGTTGACTCTGGAATCTTGAGTCTAGATTCTACTTGTATAGCAATGTCATAAGATGTCACATGAAATCTTACTCTTGTAACAATATCACAATAGAATCAATCAATCTTGCCCCAATAAATGAAACAAAACTCCAGACAAAAATCACTCTAAATAATCTATTAAACAGTGAAGTACAATTACAAACTTTAACTAAAAACTTTGTATAATCCAAGATGGTCGAACAATTAAGAATATAACTATACGAATTAAAAAATCAAATCGAGCAATTGGCTCTTAAAAAAAGAACCAAAACCTAGTATGTAACAGGAATACAAATGTTACGTTATTTGGTATATGCAGACTTTATTACTCTCGTGTTATATATTTTTTAAAAATGTGGGTTGCTTCAAATACTTTGGGATTTAATCAAAATATGCTTTCTACTCTGTCGAAACTGCTAAATATTTGAACATTGTAGATTTGAAACGCGCAGCCCACAACTAGATAAAACGCAAGTTCAAATGCATATCTACCCATAGGAAGAATGGCCAGAAGAAACATATTGCGGTACTAATCTAAACTGAATATCGATGATACTTGAACGACCAACAGCAGCTGACAGAGATTCAAATGCTCGCGCATCAGCGAGACAGCACTAATGTAACGATGGAACTCTTTTATTCAGGGTTTCTTTGCGAATTAAAATTTTATTAACGCGTTACATTTTTTCTGATTAAAATGATCCGAAACATGATATAAATTGGATAATTACTAATTTATCAGAGGCGATAACTCATGCCACGCAGTTTCTTCTAGCCTGTTATAATACTGTAAAAAAGTAGTAATCAATGTGTGGACATTCCAGGGATTCCCTAGATTACCGTTTGAGTTGTATCAATTTACAAACCTCGGAAGACCTCAGGTTTCAAAAATGGGAGAGGTGGAACCTGGATCCGATTTTTACATTAAGGTAATCTAAAGAAGATAAGGATATTGCGTTGAGAAGACAATATACATATAGGGAGCGACAGCAAGCGCGTATATTCTTTCGCAGTTTATTCTCAGTGCCGTGAACATGAAGTTGCTGCAAAGTGATTGTATTATGGTTATTGTTTATTAAAGCGTTTTGTGTTAGTTAGGGGAAGTTGTGAGTGATTTTTTAAACAACTTTCCCAGCGGTTTATGCCCGTAACAACAGATAACGCTAAGCAGGCAGTAAATCAGAAAAAGAACTTTATTCCATTGTGTAATGAAAGTGCACGTACCACAGGAGGTCTTTGCGACTTAGAGCTCCGACTTTGTGTATTTTCCGAAGACATGTTGACCAGTGAGTTCGTTGAACCATGGGGTGAGTAGTTCTCACCATCGTCTTTAATGTTCAGTCTCTTTTTCGATTTATGTATGGCAGTGAACAATTCCTCATTCGACATAGTACTCTTCGTCGGCGACAAGGCTAGATTCGTAGGTGTGCTTCGGCAGAAGAATGTTTGAACAAGATTGTTTTTTTTTAAGTTGGCGACCGGTGACGTGCAATTGCTGCAGCCTGTTAAAGCCACATTTTCCGTAATAGTTGGTGTAACACGTCCGCTAGGCATTGAAGTTTTCAAGCTATCGCTATGCTTCATCGAGGAAACTGGACTGTGTTTGATCGCATCGGAGCTAGAAATTTTCGTAACAGGATCATAAACCGGCGAGGACGTAAGAAATTGATACCCCAGTGAAGTCAATCCCAATGAAGTGGCGTATCTAAAAAAAAGAAGTGTGTAAAAAAGAATTGTTTTTTGTTAGACAAAACAGTGCCTACTTGTATGATTATGTGACGATGGTTATTTATGCAATTTTTAACAACTGACGACAAATTAATTCTTGTTAAAACTTCTATAACACGTTGAGTAATACAGTACAATAATGTTTTCATTAATCACCGAACGACCGGATCTCTTTGGAACTTTTATAAATCTAGTTAATGTAGTTCGCATGTCATGAATTTCAAGGCAAGCCTCGGCAGCTCGCGTTTGCATTTTACTCACAGCAATTGTCGCAGAAATGGACAGCAAGTAAAAAGAAAGACGGGCCGACGACCAGGCAGCTGACAAAGATTCAAATGCCCGCGCATCAGCGAGACAGGACTAATGTAACGATGGAATTCTTTTATTCTTGGTCCTGTGCGAATGAGAATTTTGATGAGATTTTTCTCATTGAAGTGATCCCAAACACGATGTAAATAGGATTATTTCTACTTTATCAGAGGGGATAACTAATATTCTTCCATTATCACTTCTGATAAAGTAGAAATTAACTTGCAAAGACCCAAATTATATTGTATTTGGTATCATTTTAATCAAAACTCATTATGTTAATAGAGTTTTCGTTACCAAAAAAACAAGAATAAAAAAGTTTAATCGATACATTGTTATCTCGCTGATACCCGTGCATTGAAGTTTTTGTTGGTTGCCCCGATTGTCGCGGCAGGTCCAATGCAACCACGAGCTGTCGGGGTGTGAAGTGACGTTTATGAGGTTCGCAAATCATGTCCCTCTTTGATAAATGCTTCAAAGCGGTCCAGAGTTTTGAGCATTAATCGAAGATTTACTATATTAACTCCCAATATAACACTTGTTGTATTAGTCAATCGATTCAATTAAAAGTGCAATCGTTTCTTAAGGGCAGAGACTCCGTGGGCCGTGGGACATTCGATTTCGTAGAATCCAACTTTGCTTCGATAATTGCAAAAATTAAGTTTTCACGAGTATAGTGCTCACGGGTAGACTTCACAACAGGGTGGTCTGGTCCGTAGAAACATCAATAAACACCATACGTTGAAAGAATTAGAATTTTAGAAAGTGAGCGACTGTGACAGACACTGATGAAGCACACGAGATGGCTGCTCAAGTCACATTTTGTGAAATATCACACGATTTAGTTGTTTTCTCGTCAAAAGCTGACCAGACCACCTATACACCGCTGTCACACTATCGTAGAAATGCAATTTTTGTTAATGTATCACTTGTGGATGGCGTAAATTGGATTCCACGATTTGACGCGTCCAGACTCAGGAATATACAGTGGTATAGTTCAAGGAATCTCCGCTAGGGGCGCTTATGGTATTTGTCAGTCACCTTGGCCATGTTACCATGAGCATCGATAAAACAGGGAGCCGATAAATGTAACCTCGCAATACGTGCTGGATCGTATCGATTGTTTTGTTATGCCGTTGTCATATGTTCCCCATTACAATTCTGCCTATCAGGAGAACGATGGAATACCTACGGTTCGTTGCGAGATTTCGATTCCCGCCGAACGTAGGAAAAGAATGGCGCGACCGAAAGAGATTCGAGAATGAAACAATACATACTTACGTATTAATGTGTGCAACGATAAACCTTTTCTATTCGTACTTGCAATGATGCTTATTTTTTTAATCAATGGACTTACATACGAAATACTAGAAATGGTATTTCCGAGAACCAAATTGTAATAATGACACAACATATATTCCGGGTATTCCATATACAAAAAACATGGAATACTATACAAATCTGCTGTATGAAATGATATTTATTTACCTTTTATTGACATAATTGATACGGGTATTATAGGCGTACACATATATTTCGTAAAAAGGACGCAAAAAGAACATTGAATGGACAAATTTATTCGATGAGAATTTATTCAACGAATAAAGATACTTTTTTTATTCGAAGAGCGTTTAGCTATTTACCTATGTTTTTGTGCAAAATAATTCAGAAGGTCTTCAGAAATGAAATGTGTATGTTGGAAATTCGTGAAATGTTGTGGGGAACATTGTTAGAAAAATTTAAAAATGTGTGAGAAACATGCTTTTCGCGCGCAGAAGAAAATATAATAATAAAAAAAACAATGTCAACACGTGCGCTTCCTGTTCTTTAGCCGACGGTGGGCTGAACCAGACAAAAAAGTTTAAAAGTCCGCGTATCGATATGATTCATATTGCACTATCCAAAATTCTATCCTGCTTATTTATGCACGGTATATTACAGTCTAGGTGCGGGTGCAGCGAAGATGATACGCTAAGCACGCATGCGGCAGCAATTAGTTGTTAGTTCAAAATCTATCTCCGTGGGGCGACGAATGAAAAAATGGAGAGAGCGTATGCAATTAATTGTGTTCTTTTTGCGTCTTTTTTATGAAATATATGTGTAAGTACATATATAATACCTGCATCAATTATGTCAATAAATGATAAATAACTATTGTTTCACGGGAATGCCATTTCAAGTATTTCGTATGTAATTTCATTAATGAAAAAAAATTAGCATCATTGCAAGTACGAATAGAAAAGGTTTATCGTTGTACACATTAGTACGTAAATAGTGTTTCATTCTCGAATCTCTTTCGGTCGCACCATTCTTTTCCTACGTTCTGCGAGAATCGAAATCTCGCCACGAGCCGTAGATATTCCATCGTTCT